GTAAGACATTAGTGTGTGTCTGCATGTGTGCTGTGGGTTATACAGGAGTGTGTAAGTCTTCAGTGTGTGTCTGCATGCTGGGGGTTATACAGGAGTGTGTAAGTCTTGAATGTGTTTGTGCTGTGTGTGATTTTTAGGAGTGTGTTAGGATTGATTGTGCATAAGCGTGTGTGCTCTGTGTGTTTTACAGGGGTGTGTTAGGCTTGACTGTGCATCGGCATTTGTGTTCTGTGTGTTTTTCAGGAGTGTGTTAGGTTTGATTGTGTGCCTGCGTGTGCACGCTGTGGGTATTCAGGAGGATGTCAGTCTGGAGTGCTTGTGCTGTGTGTGGCTTTCAGTCCTGTGTGAGGCCCACTCGCTCACCTGCACTCCCTCCGAGGTGACGGCAGAGCACGCCTGGATCTGCCAGATCCTGTCCCGGATGATGTGCAGGTTCAGCCCCTCGGCGATCTCTGCCGCTGGCGCTGCAGTCATCAGGTCCTGCTTGTTGGCAAAAACCAGGACTGGCACTCCGCTCAGCTTCTCCTCCTCCAACAGCTCTGCCAGCTCCTGAATGGATCCAGCCCAGGAGAGGGGCAGGAGACACACAGAAGGAGGCAGGTGGGTTGGAAAAGAGAAAACGGACAGTGATGCTGGTAAAGACAAGATGTTAAAGGAGGCAAATGGAAGTATAGGAGACTGTAACAGGGCAGCTGGATCTGGAGTGCCAAGAATGTCCAGATACAGGGAGAGAGCGTATAATAATCAAATATGTGGGAGGTTATTAGGCAAACGGCCTCACCTGCGAGAAGCCAGGTGACCTATTTAAGAGTTTAGGGAGCACACAGTCTAAAGAGAGAGACTCCCACTATCAGGTATGGCACAGGGAGACTCTAGATGTCTGTTCAGGTTTGGGTTGGACCCTCACAGTCAGGGGGACAGTGAGAAACAGAAGCACAGCAAGGTTCTGTCTGAGAGTAAGAACACCCCCAAAGGGGCCAGTTACAGCAGTGCCCCAGGAGGGGACGGAAGATTAAGGGGGTCTGGTTATTTAAACAGGCAGCCAGCAGTAAGATCTGAGGGAGATCAGAGTTTCCGGCGGGAACTCAAGTCTCATGGTGAAGCATTACAATAGTAGGGGAAGATTAAAGGTATATCAGGGCTACAGGGCAAGTCCTCTAGGATTAGGGGGAGGCCTAGGTGAAACAGGTATTGAGAGCATGGGATTCTCATGAGGTAGCAGCCTTGGTCATTTCTCTGACAGCCTGCGGTCAACAGAAGATGGTGACAGCAAGACCAGCCTGAACAGAAATGATCGTGTCGAGGTTTTATTCCTCTGCTACTCCTTCGTAAGGTACAACAAGGTTAATTAAGGCGCATAGTTGCGAACCGATTTAAGGTTAAAACAGTTCAAAACAACAATGGTCTTGGAGCTGGTTACATGGGGGTTAATGTGTGCAGATCTCCACATGCTCAGCTAACCTCTTAAAGGGAATCTGGCACAGGGACCCACCAAACCTTGCAAAGATGTAATCAAAGCTGATTTGAACCGGTATTTCCAAAGACAGAACAGAACAGAACGCAGGGACAGAAACAGCTTCACATAAAAGAGGCACTTTTATAAAGGCAACTCCTTCACCTGGTTCCAGGCTGACATTACCTGGCCGGTCTCCTCAAAGCGTTTCCTGTCTGCACTGTCGATGACGTAGATCTGTCGAAGAAGACAAGGTAGTATTTGTTGGAATTCTTCATCATCAGTCTTAATCCATTCAGGAATTAAGCAGCTCAGCGCCGTGCCACAGTCAGGCGGGCCCAGTGCTTGTGATTTTAGTGCTGTGATTAAAGGGGAGACAATGGCAGTAGTGGCTACAGCAAGGTGAGCGCCCTCTGGTCTTGGGAGCTGAGAAGACCCTGTGCGTTGAGACTACAAAATGAGTCTTTTTGGAACATGCAAAGAGCTTAGAAAGGTTTACTTATGGAAGAAGCTCTTTCACACCATAGATGCTCCTGTATTTACATCTGCTCTGCAGGAGCATGAGGTGATTCTGTGGGGGCGGGAGTCTGTGAGTTCTGTGAGCCCTACAGAAACAAAAATGACCCACCAAGTACCAACATCTTCCTCTGCGGTTTTTAATTTTTCAATTTTTTTTTTTGCGGGAACACACTCACCAGCACGTCTGTGTTTTCAAAGTAGTTCCTCCAGTAAGGCCGTATCTTCCTCTGGCCCCCGATGTCCCAGACATTCAGTTTGAAGCCCTGAGACTGGACGCTCTTTATATTGAAGCCCTGTCAGGACACATTGTGGGGAGTCAGACAGACAGGAAGTGCACAGGCACATCAATGTGCATGAATCACCAATATCAGACAGAACCCAGTATCCCTCAGACCTGCAACACGCCACTCTGGGATGTCTGGAGGGTACCTGGGTAGGGGTGATGTGGCTGACATCCTCAGAGGCCAGCTGTTTCAGCAGGGTGGTCTTCCCAGCATTGTCCAGCCCCAGAAGCAGGATCCGTACCTCCTGATCCGGAGAGCTCTTCAGCTTCCGCAGGATTGACAGCAAACCCTGAGTGGGAACAACACCCAAAACACTGTCTCTACCAGTCGTGTTGACCCAAACACTGATGCACACAGTTTCATGCAGAGGTGGAGAAAGACGCAGATGGATGAGTATCTGAGGCGAGATGTGCAGGAAGCCTAGGGCCTCACAGTGGCACAGTGGCTAGGATGAAGCTGCCTTGCAGTGGTGGGGCCCCGGGTTCAATCGCTGGGGCGCTGTCTATATGGAGTTTGTATTTTCTCACGTGGGTTTCCTCCCATAGACCAAAGACATACTGGTAGGTTAATTGACCACTGGGAAACCTGGCACTGATGTGAGTATGTGCTGTGTGTGGGCCCCGTGATGGACTGGCATCTTGCAGGGATTGTCTCCGGCTGCTCCAGCTCACCCTGAATTGGATGAAGCGGCTAGAAAACAGGAGGATGAATGCTCTTGATTCTGTGTTTTGAGCATGAATGAGCAACACAACTGAACTTGGCCAAATCGTCTGACTTCTCTGTAGCCCTCTGATTAACCGACCTGCGTCCCTCGGGCGAACAATGCAAAATAACACCAGGCGCACAGGAAGAAAAGAGGATTTAGCCGAGCAAAATGTCTGTTCCGTAACAAACATGCCGTCCCCAGGCCCCCCGTCTTCACACTTAGCCATGCTAATGAGGACAAGCACTCCCATGATGATCATGAAAAAATCACAGCAAAGAGCACACTGCATGTGTGCGCCCAGTGAGGCAGTTCACCCCTCAGTTCCAGAGCTTGTTCTCTGCTACTCTGATCATTTAGAAAACATGACCTTTTATACTAAAAACCCTATTTGTAAGGCTGTGGTAGCCATCCAAAATGCATGCATTCATTTATTTATTTCATGTTACCACCATGGACAACAGCCTACTGTTCCTGAATCATTCACTAAAGCTGAAGTAAGCACAGCCAAGGCATTCATGCGTAGGTACGATAAGGCAGAGTGCGGGCTAAACAAATTCAAAGCATAGAGAATGTGAAGAGTACAGAAGCCAGTGGAGAGCACAGAGGGTAGGAGAAACAGCTGGCAGAGTCATAGGGATGAACAGAAAGAGTGTGTGTCTGACTCAGGAGGATATGAGAACGAAGGGGATGCAGAGACCGGCACAGTCTCAGGTGCAGGACAGGAATGACCAGTGACGCAGGTTGAGAACACAGGGAGAAACATCAAGCTCAAACCCTGTGCGGCTTCCCAGCAGTCTAGTTTCCTTAATTTGCTTTTCGCACTAGGGCGGTAAAGCCAGGTCACTGTGTCGTGAACGCAGCTAATAAAACAATTAGGTGGCCTAGGAAAATCTCCTCCAATCACATAAAGCTCTGATGTGACAGGATGGGATTACTGGAAAGTCAAGGCTTCCACGGTGTGAGAACAGCCAGTGGCACTAAGAATACTCCTGTCTTTTTAGCTTCTTGTCTTGGCCTACACTACCATAATTATCCTGTTGCATCTGTGCAGATAATCTGTGCAGCAGATTTTGCGAGTGCACAATGCCGTTTTGCGGCTCGAAAAAGGAGAGCTAGCTTGTCGATGAACCGCCTGGCCGAGATCTGTTCTGATGACCCGCGTGAAGCTGTGATGGACCAAGGTGGTGTTTTAAACAGACTGACTGGTTCACTTTCAGCACTAAGGAACTAACTACTTCTGACCTGTACGCTTCTGTCGGTGTTTCAGATGACCCACCTTCCCCGACTGACCACATCCAAACAAACCCCAAGCCTTTTCAACCACCCAAACTCACAACGGTAACCCCATTGTCGATGCATCGACTTATAATATTACATTGCTCAGTGAATTATGCCTGCTACCCATCTCATTTTCGCCCTGGGGTGAAAAACGAATGAGATCGGAGAAGTCAGGTCACGTTCAGAAGAGCTATAAGGCTATCACAGATCCCCATAAGCACGAAGATATGGTCGAGTATCTGCAGCACGTCTCAGTTTTTACGTTACGCGATTACAAGAGAATTGTAGGACACGGGGTGCGAGAAAGGGTTACATTTAAACTTTTTGCAATTTATTGGGCTCAAACTCTTTAACAATACTCGCGAGGACTGATTTATTATAAATACATATCAGGAGAGTTGAGTTGAGTCCGTTCAGTGACGGCATGTTTCCTTTATAATAACGTTTGAAAGCCAAAATGAGTCAAAAATTATTTATCGCTAACACGTGTTATCGTGTGCAATTTTCTTGCCACTCATAATACATCAACTAACAACAACAGCAAGAGATATCATAGTATCATTAATTGCATTAAAATTATTATATTCATATGCTACTATGTGATTATATTATATAACACCAGCAACCGTACCTACTAACAGATCTCCCTAATTCCTGTCGGATATCTATTATCACAATAAAAACGTCTCATTTGCTATTATATCGCACCGTATTATTCAGCAGCAGAATTTGGTAAGGACAAACATCTAGTCACCTGCCAGCCTACACGAACCTGCGATGCATTTTCGAGATCTGACACAAGCAGGCGGGTAATGGTGGAGGATTATACTGCTATTTTAATTGCGCAGTGCCAACTACAAAGAAACTATCGATTGCAACGACGTACTCACCATGGTCCGGTCTGCCGATGGGTGTTGACAGACTGGCTCGGCTCAGATCAAGTTGAGCTACGAGTAACCATGGAATCAGTGGCGTCATTGTAAACAGTCGCCTGTGCGACGACCCCTACTGGCCAGCACAAAAACAACTTCTGAGATACTTCAATGTAGCACTGTATGTGCACAGTGTATACGCGGATAATAACGACAATACAAGGTTCTGCAAGGCTGTCAAAACCGAGCGACCACACATTGCGGTGACTGTTACCCGTTTGTGGTGTTGTTTCACATGCAAAGGTGGCTACTTTCCCAAATTTATTGATCAAATAATCTGACTGAAAGTCCCTTTTTAAAACAAAGCCTACCCCACGTAATCGCCTTTATTTTCTGATCGGGGACTTCTAAAGCCAGAGAACATTTTCATGCACCGTTGAATGTGTGCACCCACCACCGGTTCCACCGGCCAAGGTTATATATACAGTATATTGCTCATTCTTTTTACCTCAGTGTGGAATTAAACTCTATTGTTCCATTTCCCAGGATCCGTGACATCCTATAATTGAGGGTTAATGTCAAACAGCACGTTTTTTGCATACCAGGTGTGCTTTACCAGGTGCCCGTTCATAGGTATCCACCAAAAAACATTTTCTGACCTGAACCAGAATGAAACAGCTGTTTAATTTGATTGTAATTTTCCACAGATTCACAAACACCACTAATTTCGATGTAAGTCTATAAAAACGATTGGAAAATAGTAGTTTATGCCACCCATTTGACAGTGAATACATGTTCACTTAATTGCTATAACAGAAAATCGTAATTGGCGACGGTGAATGTAGAGAATGTAAAAAAAAAAAACTTTCCATCTTTCTGAATGAAATACATGTGCATTACTTTCTGTAACCATAAAATGAGGAGGCGGAACAGCTCCATTTTCCCGGAATGAGTGAATTACAGTTACAGTGATGACGGAAATGTGGCGATTTTACAAAACAAAAACCCACCCGTATATTTCCGTGTTAAAAACACATTCATTCAAAGAATTAGCGCAAAACAATAACCAGCTTTGGGAAATAGATTATACAGCTTATTCCGTTACCTAAATAACATTCATTTTATGAAGATGAAAAGTTAACACCCTAGAATCTGCCTACCTGCCGGGCAGCCTATACTGTATGAAGTTACTTCATCTTTACCTACTGAGTCACTACCGCCCTCTGCCGACGAAACGATCAGGCCATCTTGTGTACAGTGATAACAGTGCGTTGGCCACCCAACAGGAAAATGAAAACATGTAGCTAAAAATAATATGAAGACGTATAAAGACGGTGGTTCTCTTTTAATTTAGAGGTTCCTCTGTGAACGCTGCTGTGCCATCGGTCAGCCACCCAGAAAGATGCCACAGACAGTGCTGGGATCCATTTTCTGTCTGCTCTGCATCGGGGCTTGTGCGGTGCAGGTAAGCTGTGGACTGGGGTGCCTGGCTCGGTCGTTGCTTTCAGGTTAGGCCGTGGTTCGGAGCTGGAAGCAGGCCTGTTGATGTGTATATTTGTTCCTCCGAATAAACGGTGCTCAACAACTGTACGTAATGTAAATACTGTATATCCATCCTATCTACGAGTGGTTAAAAGTTTACATTTGCTGCCACTTGTTTTTTTTTCCCCTCCACGTTATGTTTGTAAAGATAGCTAACGGTTTTTAAGCTAATTAAAGAAGAAAGAAACTGAAGCTTTTTTTTTGTTGTTGATTTAATCCATGACACCTTCGGGGGTACGTTGTTCGAAACAGATTGTTGTGTTGTTGGTTCCGATATCGAGCTGTGCTAACTTTGTCAGGCTCAAAACTGTTGCTTTTTTAAATCTTGGGTAGCTTACGCAAATGAAGGGAGTGACTGTCGAACTGTTGTAATTATTTTATTTTGATTGTGATGTAGCTTTGGGTAAAGTTTATTTTAAATGTTTACTGCGTCATATATATATATAAACGTATTGACGGAAGAGTAACATTTTTAGCAATGAGGATATAGTTCGGTATTTGCTTTTTTAAAAGTGTGGTGTCTGTGTCCACCGTACTGTTACTCGGAGAAGTTTGAAAGAATGCGTTTTACACGACATAAAGTACGGAAATGGATGACTTGCTTGCTCATTCTTTTGTGTTCACCTGTCGTTTAATGGTACTGCCTCAAATGAGCAGGAATATTTCATACGTAATCTACACGCTTTTCCCCAGAAAATAAATATTGCATGTGTTATTATTCAGTGCCCTTTCGAGCAATTTTTATAGAGCAATGCTCTATTTTGCCTCTATTTTATGCCCTATTTTTATTTGAGCGCAGTCTTTTTTCTTCTCACAGCCTATATCATGAGTCTTGAAAAGCTTAATGTTTTATTTTATTTTATTTTTGTAGGAGATAAATGAACGTTCTGCACCGCTCACATCGTGTGCGAAACTTAGAAATTCTGCTGCAGTTCCCCTGCCCGCTTCATCAAAAATTAGAATAGAAAAAATCTTTAGAGTTTTGCTATTGTGCGAAAACATGACATAATTTTATTGCTCTAATAAAAGAAATCTGTGAAATGTCTTATTTAATTTTCAGGCCAGCGTAGTAATGTGAGAGTCGTGTCAAGGTTCTGATTTTGTTACGTCAAGATGTGTTTGCAAAACATTGCTGTTTTTTTCATTACTTGCTGTCAATTTTACTGTTCTTAGTTCACAGTTCTTGAACATTCCAGGATTTTCAGATTACAAAAAGTAATGACCTCATAATCACCCCCCCCCCCCATATAATTTTGTTTGGGTTTGTAATAGCAAGTTCTGTTTCAGTACCTGTTGTCCTTGTGATTCCTGTCCAGTGTAGTATATTCCTGTCCAGTGCAGTATAATCCCATCCAGTGCAGTATAATCCCATCCAGTGCAATAAATTCCCATCCAGTGCAGGATAAACACCTCCAGTGTGGAGTCGGATCTCCAGTTTGCTTGCTCACTGGTCACATGTGTGCTTGTCTGTTCCAGGGGAAGGAGTTCTGTTTCGGGGTGAACAATGAGCAGTACCGCTGTGAGATGGGCTACTGCTGTGGAGAGACTGAGTGCTGCACGTACTACTACGAGCTGTGGTGTATGTCATCTCACTGCCCCGGTCTCTGAGACAACAACCCAGTACTTCTCTGTGCTTCACATCCCTCCATTTCCTAACTGCTTTATCCAGGACAGGGTCGCAGGGATGCCGGAGCCTGTCCTGGCCAGCGATAGGCTCAAGGCGGGATATGGCCTGGTCCTAGACTATGCAGATAGCACCCCAGGTCTAGAATTGAGCCCAGGGCCCCAGCTCTAACCACTGCGTCACAGTGCTGCCCCTTTACTTCACACATTTGGAAATTAACCTTTTTCTGTTCACTATCATGTTGCTGCTGTGTTTCAGCTCATGAAAACCAGATTTCATGTGTGCTGACTGTTCATTCATCTGGATGTTTGTGCGGTGCCCCAGAAAAGAAAAAAATATTGCAAAAGCCAAAGTTGTCAGTGGGCTCCTGTCTGGCTTTGTCAAAGGTCATCATCATAATTAGGCTGCTGATGGCCGAGCGGCCTACGGCGCTGGATTTGTGCTCCGGTCTCTCCGGGGGCGTGGGATCAAATCCCACCACTGCCAAATGTTCTTGGGGCGGAGCAGTGGTTCTGTGGCTAAGGATCCAGGGGCGCTGTACAATAGCTGACCCTGCGCTCTGACCCCAGGCTTCTCTCCCTGTCTGTGTGTCTATGTGTCTCATGGAGAGCAAGCTGGGGTATAAAACGATTAATTCCTGATGCAGGAAATTGTATAGGGCTAATAAAGTGATGTGATGTTATGTTATGTTAATACCACTCACTGAGGAGGGATAAAGACATTCAGTGAGCTATGCAGATAGCAGTGTCTTACTCAAATGTTAGACATTTCAAAATCATTCTAACCCAACATCTAACAGAGATTGTTGTGCTGCTGTAGAAAAGATTTGGAAGGCATGCTGTTGGCTACCGCAGGGGTCTCTTTGGGACCCCTGTGTGTTTCTGGATCCTGACGTTGGGGTTGGCTGTGTGCACAGGGTTCTGGCTCGTGTGGACGCTGATCATCATGCTGAGCTGCTGCTGCGCGTACCGACATCGCCGCGTCAAGATGCGCCTGCAGCAGGAGCAGCGCCAGCGGGAGATCAGCCTCATGGCCTACCAGGGGGCCTCCAGCTCCTTCGTCGCCCCTCCGCCCCTTAACCTGCGTGAGTACCCCCCCCCCCCCCATCTCTGAATACAAGACCACACCCTTCCCAGCCCCCACCTGCAGTCTCTCTTAGTTCTCCGCTCACCACCATTGACAAAAAGCCTTGTATTATATTATATGTTATACTCCATCCATTCATTTTCTAACTGCTTCTTCCAGTTCAGGGTTGTGGGGCAGCCGGAGTCTATCCCAGCAAGCAAGGCAGGACGCTAGGGCACACACAGAGATACAAACACAGGCATCTCACACACACACACACCGGGGCCAGTTTTCCCAGAGGCCACTTGACCTGCCAGTGTGTCTTTGCACAATGGGAAGAAACCAGAGAACCTGGAGGAAAACCCATGTGAACATGTGGAAACTCCACACAGACGGCACCCCAGGTCTGGAGTTGAACCCAGGGCTCCAGCGCTGAGAGGCAGCAATGCTGACCACTGTGCTACTGTGCTGCCCTCCTCACTGTTTATAACAGTCTATAAATTAATGGTACTCTTATTCTTAGCCAAAAGGCCAATACAATTAGTGCTCTTTTCCATATGTGTGCTATGGACCATGATATTGTTACTAATGATCTATTAATGGGTTTGCCCCTTTTCAATGTCAGGATTCTGGACGGACTGTAAACTCCCAGCTTATGAAGAGGTGGCTGGCCACCCGCCCACTCCACCTCCCCCTTACTCTGAGGCCTCCCCTGCTGGCACCCCGGTCCCTGGCCTCATCCTGCTGCCGGCGGGCCAGTTGCAGTCCACAGTGGTGGTGGAGCCTATAAGACACGTTCTGGGGGAGCCCGCGCTGCCGGTCCAGGAACACGATCGGGATTCGGTGGCGGCCACCCCCCAGTCGGTGCGGGCCAGCCCGCGTCTGTCCGAGAGCGGAGGAGGCAGGTGTGACCCCCCCCCCCAGCCAGGGTCCCACCTCCCTCCGCCTGGGGAAGAGGCGGGGATGACGTACGCGCCCGGAGACCAGGAGGACTGTGGGACGCGCCGGAGACACGTGACGGGAGACTCCGGGATCGAGGTGTGCGTGTGCCAACTGGATGTGGACGAAGACTTCGTGTCCGAGGGGGAGGAGGTGGAGTCCGGCCGGCTGTGTCAGGGAGCCTCGGGGGACTGCTGCTCTGAGAGAAGCACAGACAGACAGAAGGATCATCTGGACAGCAGCAGCGGAGTGCAGATCAGCGACACTGGAGTGGACAACAGCAGCGGCCTGGTCTGAAAACCCCCTCCACTGGCTCCGTATTTTAAACCCCCAGATGTCAGCTGAGCTTGGGTTGTTATTATTATTGTTATTCCTTCTTATGGTATGGATATCGCAGTGCCACTTTTTTAATTCATAACTATAACATATCAAAGTGGTCATACCAGAGGCAATAACTATTTAAATTCTACCCAATAACAATAATAATAACATTTTGTTTTTCTGGCCAAGTGGTTGAAAACGCAGTGGTATTGCTATCATTTATCCCCGTTATTAGGAGACAAATCCTCTGCACGCCCGTTCTTGTTGGAGGCCCGGAGGGTCCCTGTGTGGACCCAGACTGGGTGATCTCACAGAGACACTGAGGTGGGGGCTCCTGAGTGGCTCTGCCTAAATTAACCCTCCCACACACACAATTGTAGCCATTTTAATGGTTTATATTTACTGAAGGTACGTCTAACACATTTCACTTCCCTTCTAAGCTATGCTTGGTTCCATTCAAATGCTTTGGCGGGGTGGGGGGGGGTTGGTTTTGCGTTATCAGAGTTGTTGTTTTAGATAGTCCCTGGGGTCCTTGCTTGTGCCTGTTGATGGTGTTCGGTGGTGCAGAGTTGAAAGGGGACACAGCTGAGAACCCTTTTGGGCTGGAGGGTCCTTGATTCATAAGTTTAAAAAAAAAAGATAATCCTTTCATGCTTCTTGGTCCTTCTTCCTCTTTATTCTGTACATTTTTTTTATCATTTGATCTGAATATCACATGATCTAAGATCTGCAGGGCGTTTGGATGGAAGGAGAGGGGCCTGTGTGTGTCAAGGAGCCCTGTTTTAGTATATTTTCAAGACTGAAGAATTCCAACACAGAGGTGGGTGGAATTGAACGATGTAGGACTGTAGTTGATGAACAGAGTGGATTCGTGAACTCCAGTAACTTTTTGTAACTTTATTTTAAAATAATCTTTATTGCTTTAAACGAAAAATCTGTCTCGCAAAGTCCCGCGGGTGGGCTGCTCGAAGAAGGCATGCCTCCCCCTGTAGTGGCGTTTTCAGAGCAGGTTGCTGATTTCTTTGATGTGTTTTGTGTTTCTGAAGCCACCTTTCATCCTGATTTCGTCTCAAGGCGTGAAGTGTGGTAGTTACTGTGTAACTGGCGTTTCTTTTTGGGACTCCGAATGGCTGACCACAAGCTTGAGACAGTTTTTAGAGAGTGTTTTAGGTGGGTGGATTTTTTTAACCGCACGTCCATGTTGTATAGTTTTCTTTGCTGGATCTCTGTAACACAAATAAGGAAAGTCACTCTCTTCCACATTAAGTGCGGGTAGGAAAGCTTTATTTTGGACATTATTATTATTTTGTGTTCCATATTTTGAAATAAAAGCTTTAATTTGATTTTTTTGGTAAAGAAGAAGCTGCCATTTATTTATGTAATGTGAAATAATAGTTAGAACGGAAACAAACATGCTTTCCATTCATTAAATCTAGACAGGTAAAATTGGTGTAGTTACCAGCAGTGTGGTATGATAACAAAAAGTGTACAGTAGGGATGTCAAATAACAGTCTTAATTCCATCTGAATTATTGTTGAATTATTTCAGCACTAGGACATAGTTTTATCATATTCTCCATGGGCCTTGTGCAGTCAGTGATTTAACAAGCACAATTTATTCAGGTAAGAGTTTCCTGTACAGCATTTTGGGACAAGGAAACAAGTAATCAAAATATTTGAAGCAACAAAATGCTTTGGGCAGTGACAGTGAAGAAAATGGGAAGGCACTGCCCCCTTGAGGAGCCGGGTTCGAAATGTGTGCCCTGTAAACGAATCCAGGTTTAACAACTGCATCTGATGTTAAGATGTTTTTATTTTTTACCCCTTATTATTTGTGCGTGTAATTTAGTTTTTTTCAAGCCCCTCTGAACTGGGCTATAGAAAAGTTAGTGTTGTTCTAAGCTGACAGGGGTCTCAGGTAAACAGTGTTTCAGCTTTTCTGGAGTTGTTATTTGAAAATGACCAGGATTTGGTCTCCTGGCGAGCACTGTTGTTATGCGAGAAAGGAAGGGAAAGAGCAAGGCTGGGGAACTTTGGGAAAGGGATTGGAGTCTGTTATCGCATTTGAGACCGCGGACTTAGCATACAGGAACAGAATAAACCACTGCAATCGTCACATCTTGAAGGCAGATTTTATTGCTCTGTATTTTCTATGCATGAGCTTGAGTTCAGAATGATGATTGTTGTTTTAGTATATTGTTTGAAAAATTAGCCTTTTGCACTGGTGCTACAACATGTATAACCTGTGGCTTAGACCTTATGTAAAACTGCTTTCTTCTAAACAAAGGAAAGAAGACCTCTGTGCTGTACTAATCCTGAGGTGTCTTAGGTTTCCAATAGACAGGATGTGGAGGACATCCATTAAGCGAATCTTGTGTAGATTTACTGTGGTGAGCACAAGGTATAGTGTAGAATAGCCCGGTTCGGCATCCTGTTGTTGTGCTGTGAGTTGTGGACATGTGATCAAGTGTTGTGTACACCCTGGTGATACCACAGTGACATTAGGGAAAAGCATGGCGACTGTAATATTATTATTGTGGGAATAATATGGACGGCTTTGGCACCAAGGCAGAGTTTTTTTGTATTTTGTTGCATTTATTTTTTAAATAAACCATGCATTTCTAAGGAAAGAAAAAACGTTGTTCACCTACTCCACCAACACATTTATTTCTGCCTTATTTGTCTGACCTCTGCATTTTGCTCTTAGAAAAAAGAGTGATTTTCTGCTGCAAAAGCTGCCTTGTGCTGTCTTTGCGTTACCACGCATTCAAGCCTACGTGCTCTCACGTTCAAACGACGCCAAAGCCTGCCTTAGCAGATTGGTCCCAGTTCTTTGTTTACACTCATATTGAGGACAATGCTAATGAAGAGCTTCCAGATAACATAGCAAGTACGAGGGCATGCTGTTCAGTGTTGGCGCTTGTGCTCCAATGTCTTGGAACAAGCATTCTGCCAATTAGAGAGTGATGTCACAGTTGACCTGGGAGAGGGTGGCACTGTTGGCGACAAAAAGATTATTTTCCTTTAAAGAGTAAATATGATGTCACCCTGTACGTGCGATGGCTCAAGGGACTGCAGGGTGCTTATGTTTTTGCTCCTATCTATGAATAATTAGGACCCTGACAGAAAGCAGTCTGTATGTAAGTTTTCTTTAGTTAAGCAATTTGCATAACAGAGAACCAGAACCGTAGGGAATCAACACTGGCCTTCAAGAACCATTCGTCTAACCCCTCTGCCCCCGCAGAGTGGAATGCTCGGCCTCTCTTTGGAACTCTGTTATGGACTTTTTGCAATTGCAATGTTAATGCATCAGCAGTGTTGAAACTGTGCTTTTTTTTTCTAGGGAGGAAGAAGTGCTTTAACATTTCTGTCATTCAGAGACCACTTGCAAATGAAACGATGGACTCTTTGTGCATTAATTGAAAAAGGGTCTTAATACTCTGCTGCTGTCAAACGTCCTGTTTCCAGTGCGTGTTTGGCTTAAGAAGGAGAAAATAGAGAAACTCTGAGTCCTTATACTTAGAGCGAGAGTGTTCGGAGCGGAGTCAGTTTCAGCGTGGCTGGAGCCATCTCTTCTGCTTTGCCTTGTGGTTTCTCTCGCTTTCCCTCCCTCAACACTTGCTGCATCTCCCAGGTGTCCGAGTCAGTCTCTTAGACACCATTCAGTACTGCTCATGTGATGCTCTCTAAGGACGTGCTTCACCTGTAGGCTTAAGCCAGCTTTACTAAAGATAAGTAATAACTCACCTCTTCCTGTCTGGCCTTAAAATGACTACCTTAAAAAGGGCTAAATTCAACATACATGTACCTAAAAATGTGTGTACATACTATTTTATTCACCTTATATGTTTGTTCAACTGTATTTTACTAAATGAAAATTACAGTCATGGGAACCGATTTTATGGGGTGTGAGCATGCTAGTCTTTTTTTTTTTAGATTTGCTGTTTTTATTTCTTTGTAATTGGAATATCTCAGACTAATGAGAGATCTGAGTGTGTAAGTCTGTGTGCATGTGGATGTGTACTGTGTCTTTGCCTGCCCCTGCCCCCCCTGTACTCTTTAAAGTGAATGTTCTCTCTGCAGAAGGTACAAAATGGAAGCATAAAAGGTCATTTTTACATCTTATAAAGAAGGCTCATTTGTTTCCATATCAAAGTTTCCTGGGTCAATCCAATGTGACGCTTACCTTATTCAATCATATATTTCAGGTGTGGAAGCTAACAGTAGTGTCTAGCAGAAAGAGTGTGTTAACACAGCAACAATGGGCACATTTGGAAATATTATTTTACTCTTTTTTTAACTGCTTAAATAAGAGCATTAATGACCACTATTGTATAATGCAGTGACAGATCTTTAATAGTATATCTTTCATCTGGAATTTCAAGTGCATTTTTATGACCTGGCCTCTCATGATGAGGTTGTTTTTTTATATTGGCATCACTTTAGAAATATTTGAAGAAAGATGGAAAGACCACGATGTCAATGGATATCTTCCAGAGTGTGGTGATAACAGTAGGAACAACAATCAGCGATCATTGAATCACCCTTCCTCTGAATGAGCCAGACCTAGACGTGCTTTAAGCCCCTGGAGTAATCAGCACCTTTACGAACGTGAATCCCATATCACAGACCAGGTCTTAAAAAAATGTAATCCTCTTGTTTCTAGCTTTAGCAATACTCCTTGAGCCTCAGTGTGGCAGTTTGTTTGGACTGTTCTTACCCACGTCCCTGCTGTCCACCAGGTTCAGGTTTTTAATCTGAGACAAACTACAGAATCTCCCTTCACCCTACCTCTCCAAAACTATCCTACTTCCTTCTGTACCATTCAAGGCTATGCAACAACTTTTATTAGCTGGTACTGTATATGCTGCAATAAACTCTTTGGGCCCTGATTTCTCTGAGTTGGTAAAAATCTTATTCATGAGTAAGAACATCCCAGATAAAACTTGAGGTAATGTGCAAAATTACTTTCCATGTACAGGAAAGGATCTAATCCACATGATCTTAAATGGAAAGTGCCATTAAATATACATTCTTTTGATCTGTGAAACTGTAGAAATGGGTATTTTTTCTCAAAACTGGTTCCACTCATAAGTACATATTTTACCAACTTCTTGCGAATTGGGGGCTTTGTGTACTGACTTTATAGTTCTTATTACAAGCAATACTATTCTCAAAACATATGCTGTGCTGTACCTGCTGGAGTCTTTGTGCTCTTGGTTTTGTTTAAATAAAAATTAAGGTGTTTCTGTTTTTGACTGTATGCGCTGTAAATATTTGTATACCTCTATATGTTTCATCAAAGCAACAAAAAAAAAAAAGTCACGCAAGTCATTTTTGTCTTTAAACGTACTTGGTTTTCTTCGGCCCAGGCCGGTTTTGCTTGGGGCAGGCAGGGGCCAGCTTGCTCAGCTGCTGTGGAGAGTGTGATCAGAGAGGAAGTGGCAGACAGAAGCAGGACTGAGAAGCCATACTGACTTCTCTGAATCTCCAGGTCAGACAGTTAATATTCAAACACATTTCGCTTCATGTGCAGAGTTTTATTGTCAATTCAAAGTTAATTAGAGGGCTCTACTGAATTTCACTTGTATGTGGGTTTTGTGGTGCAAACCGTCTTTTGTTCAGAAAGGATCCTGGAGACATGAAAAGGTATAAATGCCTTTCTCCATTCCAGATTCACTTGGATTAAGACTTTGTGTATATAGGAAGTATGCTTTCAAACATATTAATACTGCATGGTCCTTGTGATTGCTAGCTAGGGTTTTAAGTAACCCAGGGCTAGAGCTCACAACTGGAACAAGTTTGACAGAGCATTGAACACATTACTGAAGATTTGTCCATGAAAGATTACGATGAAGATCTGCTTTTGATTTGGAGTTTTCACAATGGTGTGGATGTAAACAGTAGGAAATGATGAAGCTGAGATTTAAGACAATATTATTAGAAGCTGGTTGATTCCAAAACTGTCCATAGACTTGGCTGTCCCAAATTTGTATTGTGGTGCAGGTCTATAGGAGCAGACAGACCTTTATTGAGCATCTATGACTCTTCTATGTAGGACCTTAAACCTCAGTAAAAAAATGAATGCCCTAATGCCGCACTATTGAGCAGGTTGTCCTATAATTGGACACCTGTTATTTTTTTTTTACTTTTATAGAATTCAGATTTAAAATTAATAATATGTTAAAGTCAAATGTGAGTTTATAATGAGCCATTACATATATACAATACTATAACAAATCTGCATAGTGGAAAAAAAATGTATGATGTAACAAAACCCAGCATACAGCATATATCAAGCACAGCCAGTTAAGCAGCACAGCAAGAGCTAAAAGAAGTAAATGAAAAGAGTTGAGCGATCTCTTGTGGCTGCTGTCAGGTAGCTCAGTGCAGGTGATAACACGTTGAAAGACCTAGGAGGATCTGCATGCATGTTCTGAGAGAGATTTGAGGAGGTGCTGGAAGGTGATTATAGAGCTCAGAGGCAGACCTGATGTTTGACAAGTAGCTGGTTTTCTTGCAGTTGTGGTACAGTAAGTGATGCACAGCTCCATTCTTCTGGAGCAGCAAGTGGAGCCTCCTGGTTTTCATATCCAGCTGAGCTATGGCTTATCTGACCTGATATTATTTAGGCCTAGGCATGTGTAGTATCCCGTGTTCAGTAGCTAAAGGTACCTGGATTTCTTTTAAAATAAAGAGAGTAAAAGTGGATTGAAGCTTCTCTGCCAGATGACTCCACAGGATCCATTTCTCCCCACAGCAGTGCAGGCTTGCTGACTGATGATCACAGTGGTGGACAACAGGTGTAAAACTTTTCAGAGCCCTGCAGGCGGTCTTCAAAACACACTCAGTTTCACTCAGTTCAGCTGCGTATTTTTATGATTGCTTTTATTCAATCCATCTTCATGGATAACTTGTGTGTGTGTGGATCTGCAGCTTTGGCCACAAATACAGTTTTGGAAAGGGGTGCACAAAAGTCTGTCCACGGCTGTATATTTTATTTTCTTATTGTAGTCTTCTTTTTGTTACCCAGTTCAAGCAAAAAAAAAAAAAGACATGTAGCTGATGCCATTTCTACTGTATGCCAAGGAATTCTCTTTGTTCTTGGGTTACTGTTTATATAAAACAAATAAATACTCAGCCCTTCAGTCTGATGAAGCAGTTTTGTTCCTGTTGTTGGGTTTTAAATGTACGTCCACATACAGTAGTTATAACCTCCCCAAAGTGAAATGCAAGAACATGCCTTTCAAATGCCTTGTGGTCAAACAAGGAGCTTGGAATGTTAGTTATTTTAAAGTACTGTATTACTGAAACTGTGCAGAATGGTCTGGTGGACAGGCAGCACCTTCTATGCAGCAGTGTGTGATGTTTTTCAACACGGACAGGCTATTACGTGACCTCATGCTGTGGCCTGTCATTGTCTATGGCAGTAATGTCCAATCCTAGTCCTGAATTGCCAGGACTTCACAAGCAGCCCTATAACTCAGTATCTGTCACACGCCTGCCCTCCCACCACCTTGCTTTGAGCAAGGTAAGTGTTCAGTTTTGAAACTTTTACTTTTGATTTTTTAAGGACAGATTGCTCTGTTATTATGTTTTATATCAAAACCCCTGTTTCAAAAGGGATATGGAAGAATGAAGGAGCATTTGTGGCCCTTCTGTAGACTGTGTTTAAATGCAGTTACCCCTCGGGCTCTTTAAGATACTGTGGGCACCAGTACGATTGCTCTTCCCAAATAACTTAAATCAAAGGAGGCAAGTGTTCAAATTTCTGTGACATGTAGCGTAGATATGGTCACAAATGCAAAATCAAACAATTGCAGGAGGGAAAAAAAGTCTTCCAACAAATTAAAAACCTCACAGCTTTTATTGAAGCACATGCAAGAGGTGTGCTCCCTATGCACTTGGCTGAAAGAGCCAGGGGAAAAAAACAGTGCAATTGTTACAGACCTTTCCTTAAAGTGGGCGCTTATCGTATAGGACACAGAATCCTCTTATGTGCAGAGCTGGCACCACGTACCAACTACAAAGAAGATGAGTTTCAGCTACCAGAACAATCTCAGTGCAGCAAACATGTTGGCCTGGTGCAGATGACTCAGCTACATTGACAATTTTAATAACATTCTCCTGAAAACAGTTTTCATAGTCTGCATCTGTGGTTTCCAATCCAGGTCCTCTGGACTCTCACAAACTGCTGGTTGAGTTCCAGTTGAAATATCATTGACATAATGGTACCGATACAGTCCGAACTCTCTTTCATTGTTCTTATGTACAGTATTAAACATTTTAGTGGGTTCCTTTTAACTATTACATTTCAGTAATAATCTATCAAACCTTTTGAGTAGATAAAAATATCAAGGAAGGCTTGAATTTAATTGAGAAGTGGTAACGAATTGAGAGCCTGGGTGGGAAACCAAGTTTGGGAAGCCCTGGTCTAAATCAATCTAATCCTGCTTTCGTACAGCTGGAGACTGACAGATTAAATCTAGCCATGCAATGATTCTCCACATGAGCTACTTCAAAGGCTACTGAGGCCTATTGCAGGGTTGAGGATACCACCCTATTCACTGCAAAGTAGAGTTTGAAGGTTAAAATAGTCTCAGCTCTCCAGACTGGAGTTAACACTTTTACTGCCAAAATATGTTTTAGAGAAAATGCGAATAATGTCATCTTCGACCTACATGACACCCACTAACAGAAAGACTGTCATGCAGTGAGCGTTCTGTCTTTTCAGTATTCGTTTTCCAATTAGACGTCTCCCTTTACACACCAATTCCTAGCCAGTGGCTCCTAACTTAAAGAAATGATTTAAAGCCCTTTGGGATTTGGCATGTTTTGTTATTGTTGTTATTAATCATAAATATTTTAAAACTGTAGGTGGTTGTGATCAACTATTACTGTTGAAAAGTAAAAAAACAAAAACAGATACCATCTTCGTTCCAGTTACTGAAAATCAGGGATGAGGGATGAGGGCTCAGTCCATCCAAACACCCACCTTCTAACAGCTTTACCCAATTCAGTGTCGTAGGGGAGCCGGAGCCTATCCTGGCAAGCAACAGGCACAAGGCAGACTACACCCTGGACAGGACGCCAGTCCATCACAGGACACACACACACTTATAACAGTGCCAGTTTTCCCAGACATAAGGTAAACTACCAGTATGCATTATGACTGTGAAGAGGAACGACAAAAGAACATACAAACTCCACGCAGACAGCACCCCAGGAATTGAAAGCAAGGGTCCAGCAATGCCAACCACTGCGCCATCTGTAATCTCTGCTGGGGACTGATAAGACAGACAAGTGGCTGAGGTGTTCAGTGAAAGCCAGCTCACTTTATTTTGCAATTAGCAGTTATTTTAGCTGGGAATCAGCCTTGGCTAAAGATTGGTTTATTTTGGCTAAAGATTGGTTTCATAGTTGCATGGGGCATCGTGTTCTAAAAAACAAAAGAATGGAATGCTTATTTTAATATTCATTAAAGCCAACTGTGTTTCTGTAAAATATGAACACTTAATTCAATGAGTCTTTAAATAACTAGAATATGCATAATGTCTCTGTAAAGAAAAAAAACTTACAAAGTGTGTAGTTCTGTTATTTGAAGTGGTCTTATGCAGGTTTCTGTGTAAGAAATGCATTTTGTTTTAGTAACTCTGGCTTTTGTTTTTTCCGATGCTCAGTATAAAACACATGGCGCACCTTATTTTTGCAGACTGAACAGAGAGGCACAGTACAGCTCCCCTGTACCTGAAGAGCCATGTTAAGAGAGTCCTTCATTTGTCCCACCTGAGCTCTTCATGACTACATTGAATCCCTTCCTGACTTCATTCTTCTAAAAGACCTCTGTTCTCCAATCATTGTTCTAATGTCTTATAAAGTGTTACCAAGTTTGATCCTGTTGAAGAGCAACAGTCCAGCAGGATTCATAAGTCTATAAATCTTCAGCAGCACAAGACCACAAGAAGTGGGCAAAATTAGTACAATTACAGCACAGCTGGACAAATATAACTCTTCTGCACAGATCCGAAGTTACCAGTGCCCAAGAGCAGCACAATTTGGAGAGCAGTGCTTTGGACAACCTGTTACTCACAAAAACTGCAGGGCTGTGTTTCTCCAAAAGCAGGACTCGTGTTTTAACACATCATGCTGTAGTTCCATCTGCTCCAATCTGTAGCTCAGGAAAAGAGATGTATTCAGTAGGACTGTCTTTTGAAACTTTCAACAAACCACGTTAGGCCTGTCCAGACAGTGAGGCTCTCACTCTTTGACTGAATCGCCCAAAAGAGGATTCTATGTTCCAAGTTCATTACATTATAGACATGAATCAACCAGAATCAACCAGAAAAACGCTCTTCCAAGCTGTGATTCCCAGTGCAGAGAGAGTATGGATACTGGGGTTTTACAATTCACACACAAAAAAAAAAAGGCCGGTCCAGTAATCCGTACAAACGGAGACATTTAAACACATGACCAAGGCAGCAGCTAGACCACAGAGCGGAAGGCAGCACGAGGCACACAGGAATGAGAACGATCAAGGTCAATAAACACGAACCTCCTTCACCTTATAGCAGCAAGAACAAATGCACACATAAACATACTCTTGAATGAATGAAAGAATGAAAGGGCTGGGGAGACCACCATTGAACACGACCGGAAAAAGAACACGACTGCAGAATTATTCTCCAATGGGGATCAGTACACGGGAAACACTCTCTCACAGAAAATAGAAGAACAGTCACAAACACAACAGAAGCCCTTAAAATTCGCCCCTAAGCCGATAGAAAAAGATGTCAAAGTTTGCACTGAAGTTGATTCCATATCGAAATAGATCTGTTTTCCCCACTCACAAAGTATGGTTCTTGATGAACAGAAGGTAGAGTTACTGTGGCTGAAGGCTGCTGGTCTAATGTGATTTTTTTGTAAATATGATGGACTGCTCTAGTAATCCAGGGCAGTGAGAAATCTGCCATTGTCCACCCAGTGAGGGAGCTTTCCAGAAGCCCATGCTGAAAGATGTAATGAAGTAAGAGGGAACCAGACAGCCAAACATCCTCTCTCCACTACCCAGCAAATGCTTTGAAACAAGACCTGAAGGCAGGTGTGAAAGTGGGGATGGTTTTGGGTGGACATCTTCCCCTTTTCTGTTTTTCTTTGAAGGTAGGACAATAAATGCACTTTTATTACTATTATTCAAGAAATTGTCCACGTGGGAGGCAGAGGTCTCCCACTCCAGTGCCTCTGTGGGTCCTGCCTGTGGAGAGGAGAGTGGGTCAGCTTAAAGGTCCCATATCTTCTCCCATCATTCCCCGGCTTGGCGGTCATGGACGAGGCTCCTGTTCAGGTTAGTGGCAGTCTGGGGCGGCTCAGTTCGGAGGTGGTGGTGGGGGTGGATCTCTCTCTCTCGGCGATCAGTAGAAGCGCTTGCGGCTGTTCTCTTTCCACTTCTGGTAGGCGATGATGGCGATGATGGCCAGCATGATAGAGCCCAGCAGGCTGAAGAAGACGATGAAGAACAGGGTCACCCCGCTCATGGGCTCGGAAAAGTCCTCGGCTGATGGGAGAGGAAGGGAGAGGTCAGGGAGAGAATTCGGAGCAAATCCAGAGGGGGAACCCGGGACGCTCTGTGTAAGCAGGAAGGTGCTTCCCCACTCCTTCACATCTGCAGAGAAGAGGACTGTGGGGCAAGCTAAAAGACCGACAGCAGTGGTTCCCCAGGCCTGGGCCTGGTGACCCACATACCTGCTGCTTTTCATTCCACCTTCATTAGATATCTGAAACCTCACTTGACCTAAGAACTTGACCTGCTTCACTGGAATATTTGCATTTTGTTTCTAGTCTGGGATTTTATTTCACTTATAAAATACAGTGGTTAAAGCACGGACATGTTTATGAGCTGGGAACAAACAGTTCAGATTCGTCTTATTGTTACAGTGTAAGTCAATGAAGTGTCTGATTGTGTAGCTGAAGGCTTAGCTGGAACTAAAGCCAACCGGTCGGGGGGTCACCAGTAACAGGACTGGGAAGTACTGCCTCCAGGAATACCTGAATTGGACATTTAATTATCTAATACCCCCAAATCACCATAATCAGCTCTGAATGTATCTTTCGGTGAACCCCAGGAGCTTCAAACAACAGGCTGTGGAGTAGGCGATCTGAAGTAACTGCGATGAGCATGTCTCAAGCTGGCAGGTGCATGCAGAGCAGAAGAATGCAGTGTTAATGTTTGAGCACGAGCCTCACCCTTGAGGAGGGACATGTTGTCCACGCTGGGGAAGGTGACTTCCTCCTCCTCCTCCTCCTCCTCAGCTGTCCTCAGCACGGTCAGCTGGTACAGCTTCAGGGAGATCAGGTCATGGTTATCTACAGTTACAGAGAGAGAGAGGTCAGGGCAGGACGTTCCACCAGTGCTCTCGGGCATTTGGCATAATTCTGCGTTATCTACCAGGGTGACGCAGAACCTGTGGTCGTAGCTTTAGAGGAACAGAGATGGCGGTATCTGTGTTTGGAGGAAGCAGTGCATTGTGGGAAGAACAGGGACAGGAGAGACGGAGAAGGGGCGGCATGATGAGAGGTGACATCCCAGTGGTCCACTCCAGCGAGAAACGGGCTGCTTTTTCCCAGCAGGACGGCTCACAGCGCTGGAGTATTTTTAACAGGCAGCAGGGTGGATATAAATGTGCTCCAAGGTGGCTGTGGCCTTCACTGGAAATAATAGTCTAAAATTAGCGTGCCAGTACTCTTCCATGGCCAGGGTCTATTCTTATAACTCAGCAGCTGGTCACTTGCAGGGAGCTGGGCATCTTCTCTCCCAGTCAGGGGGCAGCAGTGCCTACATAAATTACATAGATCCTTTGTTGTCCACTACTGTCCAAATCTGTCTTTGGCTTCGCCCATATGAGTACAAAACACACAAGCAAAACACACGAATCACATAAAAGCACAACAACAGTATGTGATACATGAATAAACGGATAAATAAATAGGTAATGGGGGCACTACAGTTACATACATGCACTGAGTAGTTTTATTGCAGAGGGGACAAAGGACTCCCTATAAATGTTTGTATTTGTATTTGGTACCCTATACCATCTCCCTGATGGGAGTATTATGAATTGAGAGTGGAGTGGCTGTGTGGAATCAGGTGGGATGTTCCTTGCCATTCTCAGAACTATAATACGATATAAATTGCTGAGCTGGACCTGCTGCTTCCTAATGATTTTGTCCTGCCATTTTCACAATCCTGGACAGTTTAGTTTTGTTTTTCAACCCCTGGTTTCCATACCTAACTGTCATGTTAAATGCCAGGATGCTCTCAACAAGGCTTTTATATTCCGTCTCCAGGACACTTTGACTGACATTAAAGTTCTTTAGCCTTTGAATTAAAAACAGCCTCCGATTTGCTTTCTTAAAAATGTTGTATATATTCTCAGGGTAACTCCGCCTCTGGTCAATATGTGTTCCCAGATATTTAAAACTCTCCAAAACCTCTACAGACTGACCATCGGCCATTATATTATTAACAAGACTGTAAACAAGTGAATGCTATTGCTGAATGAGTGCTAAGATTTCTCCTTAATAGAATTCCCAGCAGCATTCCAGCATGGTTTATATTCCTTACAATAATGTCAGTGGGAAAGTGCCCCCATGAGGAAGTGTTTCCATTCTCACAGAAGACTGTGATTGAGAGTGCAATTTGACATGTCAAGAAGAATTGTTACACCAGCGTATTGTCTATTACTGCTTTCAATTCAACCACTTTGAATGTTTGAATGTTTTTGCATTTAAACAGGGTATAAAGCAGAATCGTAGAGGAGTGTCCTGCTCTCTGTGCAGGTGTGCAAGGGTGCCTGAAGGACAGACACACTCCCCTGGTCCTGCCCCGTGTCCTACAGCTGGAGCTCTGTACCTGACAGGTCCCCGGTGATGGCGGACGCTCCGATGAAGTATCCCTGTGGCAGGCGCACTCCCGGGATGTCTAGACAATCCCGCCACTCCTGTTTCCCATCAATGTCAATCATGACCTGGGGGGACAGAGGGACACAGTGAGGGAGAGAGAGGGGACAAAGGGACACAGTGAGGGAGAGAGAGGGGACAAAGGGACACAGTGAGGGAGAGAGGGGTGACAGAGGGACACAGTGAGAGAGAGAGGGGAC